ATACCCGTCGGATAGAGGGTGGCCGGAGGGTGCGTGGGTTCGGATACGAGGCGCGGAGATTAGGAAGCGAACGATGAGAGAGAGAGAGAGAGAGAGGGGGGGGGATGAGAATGGCGATTCGCGAGAATAGAGAAACGAGGGAATTAAATTGCTTTTCAGTCGTATATAGAAGTGGTGTTTTACAAGGCGCGGTGTAAGATCAAGTGCGCGTCCTGGCAAGCTGCCACACCGTCTTGCTTGATAATAAATGCTCATTCAAGAAGAGGAGGAGGGTAAGCGGCCGTTCGGCGGAGGGCCGAAGAGCGGACGGGGAGGGAAGAGCGAAGGACCGGTCGGCCCTGAGACGTTTTTCTCCTCTCGTGGTCAAGAGCGGCTATAAAGCGCAACGAGACGGCCTCGGTGAGTCTTGCACTCGCTGTGCCCGCCTGCTCTCGCTCACCTACTCGTTCTATTGCTCCTCTTGTTTTTGTTCTCCTCCTTCCTCTCCGTTTCGTTCCTCGAGGAATGGCTCGATTGTTTTCGATGCGCCAATTTAACGATGCAACGCTGCCTCGCCTTTTTGCCGTTGCAGGTGAGAAGAGAGCCTGAGGGAGAAAGCACGGAGACTCACGCGGTTTCATCCGCGATCGAGCAAATACATTGTGCCCTGGGGAGGAGGTTGACTCGAAGAAATTGATTTCGCATTTTTATGTATATGTTCTTCGTTCGATCGTAGAATATTGTCATGAATCGTACGAACGATATCAGTGAAAAGCTGTAAGAAATGAAATATTCGAAGGAACTATTATTTCTCTGACAAAGTCTTACATTCCTTCACGTGATTTGTCTCACAGTACAGCGATTGCGCACGGATATTGCGACGGAACCATTAGCAAACGCATTCAGCACCATGACTCATTGTTTATGCATTACAAGGTACATCGTATCTTACCAGCAAATTTCCTACGATATTCTCAGTCACCGCAAATTGTTTCGTTCCTATTTTCGCGATACTCCCAGCGGTATTGTCCCGTAAATTTTCGCCGAGACTCGCGCGAATCAGCCTCGAGCGCGTTTGCTCGCGAACTTTATGCCGAAAGGGAAATTCGCCGCTCGGAGTACAGTACGAAGTCTGATGATATCCCGTTGTATCTCGTAATTTCTCTCGCATTCGGGAGGCGTAAAACCGACATTGTCGCGGAGCTGTAATGAACATATCCAGCGGCTTTTTACAGTAGGTATTAACTCGAGCTTTCACTCCTTGTCCTGTTTCGAAGGAAATTGCAGCAGCTCGACCTTGGGAGAATGCCTTCACGGTCGCTTTGGATGATTATTTCGAATGCGGCAATATAATGATCGCAACGGTGCAAATTGCACAAATCGACGTGAGAGGAGCAGTAAGAAAGACAATGTTCCAACCAGCGGTGGCAGGGATTAATGAATTTATCGATCGATCATTTAATTTCCTGGTTCATGGTCAAGTGGACGAAATTGCCACGTTTGAGACTTTATTTCCGATAAATCGATTTAACAACTCCGCAGCGTACATATTCGACTTCTCTTCTTTTTACTCCGTTCGCGTGTACGTACATTTTGCCGAGGTACTAGTTCTGATTTATAAGTACTATACATTGCAGATTACAAGCGCTTACATCGTAACATGGATTTCTTAACTGAACACTATTTGTATATATCACTTTGCAGTATCTATATTTTTTTTTACTTAGAATTGTAAAGTCTTACAAACTGCCACATTTAATTAATATGAAATGTGTATGGAAACGATTTTTAGATGATATTTTCAATCACTTTAAATCGCGCGAACCACATGCCTGTATTGTTTCCGTTTCAAGTAAATTTAATTCCTGACAAGCGGCCAGCTTTGTCGGCGATCATTATCCGCTTGAACGATAAATTTCACTGCATATATCGCGGCGAAACACGATGGTAGTGATCTAATTATCGGTGGAAATTGTGCTGGGAGTACGGCGCCTCTATGGTGGTGGAGGTAGAATCGCCATAGTGAAGGCCGAATAGACTGATAGACGGCCGAACGGATGGATGGATGGATGGACGTACGTGTGTACGAGATGGCTGGCTGGATGGATAGATGGATGGATGGATAGATGGACGAACGGAGGAGAAACCCCAACGTTCTTCCGGCGACCAATTCGCTCGGCGATGATCACGCGTATGAGTTAAACACATACCCACAGTTTACACGTCGGTGTGCTTATCGTCGATTGGACTACTCCGCAGTTGACTTTATCAGGACGTATCTGCGCATTGCTGTATACGCGCCTGTCTCTGTAATTTCTGTCGACGCGTTAACAGCCGTCTCTCCTTGCCGTTTATACGTCCGCGCCACGCAAATTACCGTTAAGACGCTGGAATGTCGATTAACAGCGTGCTAATTGCCTACGAATAATTAACTTTAATTAATAATGTGATGTTCTCTTCTTGCTATTTTTCTGTTTTTTTTTTTTGCAAAAGCTTACGATTTTATTCCAGCGATTTTCTGTATCTCGTATACCACGTGCATTCTCTCTCTCTCTCTCTCTCTCTCTCTCTCTCTTTGTATTCTCTTATTGTTAAAGAACATTCCTTTGGTTATTATCTGAACATACTGTGCGCATACTACACATCATAATTTTCATCAACGGCTCGCACGCGGATAATGCGATATCAAACACACATACATTTATTACGTATTATCACGGCGCATAATTGGTCGTACAACATAAAAATTTCCCGTATTAATTATCGCCGTTTGCGAGCGTCGAGCCTATTGCATTTCGCTCGCCGATACGAGCACACACAAGAAGAGAGCAAATAGGTGGGCGGGGTGCGCGTCGGCTCATCCGGTCAGTCCGCATTTAATTAAACTTGCACGATATACCGCGGAATATTCGATTATGGACAAATTAGTTTAGTCCCTGGAGCGCGGTTAATTTCGCGTGAGACGCGATGTAAGCGGGCCGCCTCTTATGCGCCGCTGCTGAAAGGGGGAGCTTAATTAGAAAAAAATCCAGGTAAACCGTGGCGAGTTTCGCGACTTAATCATTTACATATTTACGGCGTAACGAGTTGCACTGCGCTTAGTGCCTCATCTCTCTCTCTCTCTCTCTCTCTCTCCCTCTCTCGACATAACCTTTAACTTTCCATATCAACAACTGCGAATTATTATGGAAAAGTTTATAAAAATTAGAGAGCCGAGAGAGTTTCATGTATAATATAAGAAAAACTTTCCTTCCGTTTTACTTCATCGATTGAAACCTTATATTGTTGATAGTTGTTATAGTTTATTAATTTCTGTAAAATACTGTTAGCTTTAACGAGGTGTTTTAATAGATTAAACGATATTTTTCCTAATGTCTAAAGTTCGAGCGTGCCTCAAAGTTCGATAAACTACCCAACTTAATCAGTTTAATCATCCCATCATTAAGCCGCCTTAATAATAGCAGTGGGGGTAATACGGGTGTGGAGGAAGTGATTCATGGCTGCCGAATAATTTCACCGGAAAGACAATAAGCTAAGTGGCGTGGTAGAGGGTTTCGCGCTCGTGCACGACGTCATTAATTAACTGTAGCAATTGAGCGAAGATTAATTGCCAGAAAGAGGAAGGCGGGTGGGCGGAGGCCTGTAAATGAAGAGGGTACACTAACAATAAGATCACTCTGCGGGATGCTCGACCTTCGTTTGATGATAATTTGAACGCGTGTCAATTTAGCGCCCAGCTATTCCGATAATTATACTTTCCTGTCCTCATTACGCGACCCCTGTGAGATATAAAGGAAACTATTTATCTTGAGAACATTCTATGGAATTCAAACTGCGACTAATGTTATGTTGAAGTGATTGAAACGTTTACTTGAAATGTACAAAAAGAGTAAAAAACATTTTTATTTTTTTATCGCGTTCTGCACTTTTCTAATCATATCTTTCTAATTATACTTATAAGTTTGTATCTTCTTAAATCAATTTTATTGAAAATGACATATCTATGTTATTAAGCACCAAGATCCACTGCGACTAAAATATTATTCTCTTAATCGATTATGAAATATATAAAAATATGAAAAGAGATCATGCTGCTTGAACCGGACATTCATACATTTAAAACATTTCTTTCTTTGTGTTACAGGTAAGAGCAATCTTTCTTTTTCGTTGAGAGATATGAAACGCTACGGGTGGTACGCAAATGCACATACACGTGGAAAAAATTTTGAGGGTAATGTAGTAGAGTAAGACAATGAAATCCCAAGTAGGATCAGAGGATTACCACATCGTTATTACCGTCTGACTTTCTCTCGAGCCCTTGCCTTCTTCTATTTTCATATTCTTTCTTTTCATAACACATTACGCGATTAGTCTTCTCGGTAGGAATTTTCATCCCTTTGTTTGCTCGGAAAGAGAAGATGTATATCTCATAACTGTATTTAACATTCTCTTCAACTTTGCCATGTATCGCTCATTTTGGACTTCATTCGGTTTTAATGCTGTGCAGATAATATTAGATATTTAGAGATCCGCATATAGAAGATGTCTCGTACATTATATTTAATAGCACTCAAATATTGATTGTTTTGCCGATTACTGTGCACGATGAATACAACATTCGATGTTGTTGCGATACAGTGATGATTAACGTTTGATCGGATATCTCTTCATTGCTAACGGAGGATCCTTATTAAGCGTGGCGAAATTCTCAGAGTTCACGGATGCGGTGAAATCCTTAATGCCAGTTCCGTACGACGTATATTGAAAGCATGGGCTGGTTATAATCGCGTTGAAATAGATTCTCCATTCAAAACCGCTCTGAATACATATTAGAACGATTTACTGAGCGCCGGAGAACAGGTCTGAATGTGGTATTAGAGTGAAGCCGCTTCACAGAGTTGACTACAGAAGCTGGTTTGCCTTTCCATTCGTGATCCCGCGTCTTAAGCTTGGGTCACGCTCCTTGACGTTGCATTACAAAGCGATATCTGTGTTCTGTCTTACGCGTCTCGAATTCCAGTATGTTGAACTTGACATTCCGCTTCGTCGATTTGCACATGAACGTAACCGACATCGATAGCGATATACAAGATATACAAGATATACGCAAAGTGAAGGCATACGTAAAAATAAAATTCATGTTCGATCAATTTTTAATAAACTTTTAATATTTTTGAAACTTCGATCAGATTATGAAATATTAATTATATACATATATTAGTTATAAATTTTCATAATTCTAACTTAGTCGGTTTTGTGAGAAATTAACTTCTTAAATTAATTAAAATCTTTTGTTTTTTATAACAAAATGAGATACTTAATACATTATATTTTATTAATAAATATTTCATTTATTATCAATCACTAAATAATTATATAGGTTTTTGACGCAATATTTCGTCACTTTCTACCCCAAGAAAATTATTATTTGAACTTTTTATAAGTACTACTCGAGTGAGATGATTAGATAAACGAGACACAAGCACTTAAGAGCATCAGAGTCGTGGAAAACGCGCTCTCATGTAACGGGATAACGACATACCCTTGCCGTGGAAAAGATTAAATTCCATTGGCAAACGCGGTAATGTTAGTGGTTACGCCGCATTAAACTTTCGCCAGCAATCAGCATTTAGATAATGAAATTACTTGCTTACGCGCGGAATATTATCTGCAACCGAATCTCGCCTCTCGTGTTTTCATCGCGAGGGCACGAGTCGCAGGCGGATATGCGTCAATTCACATAGTCATGGGGGCAATTATTGGCCGTTAGTAACGCTTCGTCGCTATGGGTTCAGCAAGATTAAACACGAACTCGTTCTAACGCTAAAGAATAATCACGAATATTTTGCTCGCGCTTTTATTTTGACAGGACGGACTTTAGTCTCTTTTTCATTCGTGACGCACATACGTACACACTTTTCGTGTTATTTTTTGTATTATTTTAATGCAAATATCGTTTTTCAACCGTCGCAAACCTTTTGAAAAAAATCACAATATTTTTCGACTCATATTTTTCCACAAATAAACGTTTTTCGCATTACATAACAAAAAATTTCATTCGTCGTGCGAAAATTTTTAAATAAAAAGCGATTTGCAATGTTCGAGGTACAAAAGTTATTTGTCATCAAATCTATCAGATGCTTCATTAGCATTGTTAGCAATAGAAATTACATAAGAGTGTAAATCTCTCTAAATTAATATTTAATCATCAATTACGATTAATAATGCATCAAGAAATGTTTTAAATATTAAAATTCATAATATTGTATTTATATGTACGTAATGCTATATAATAAGAAATATAAGATTGATTACTTTTTGTATAATGATTTAATTTGAATGCATAATTTTGCAAGAAGACTTGCGATAAAACATTACGGACGAATTTAAATGTATCGAGGAACTTTTTTAATTTAACTCATTTTATTAATGTTTCGATACGTCGAGTCTATATTTTACTTTTCGTGTATCCCAGAGTTAAATCGCGTTTTTACGTAATATACGTCGACCCATTGCGTCTGCTAATGTAATTAATGTCTCGTTAATGGCGGGCAATTATACCAACCGGGTGATGGTAATCCGGAAATGTAGCTACGCAAATATTTCGCTGAAATCGTCCGGCATGGCTGTATGGATCTCGTTTGTATCGTATCATTGCTACGAAACTCAAACTCGCGCCAGTCAGAGAGTTACCCGCGCCAGTTAATTACTATTCGATTGATTTACCGGATCCCCATTGCAGCTCGCCCGTATCGTACGATGCATCTTGCTAATGAGAATTCGTCCGGTTCCTCCACTGTAGACCAGTTTCAAAATTCGATTCTGTCAATCGCATGCTGCTCCATAATTTTCTACCACGCACATCCGTTTTATTTTTATTTTTCTAAAAAGCTCATCGAATCAAACCGCGCAATCATCTTCCGTATTCGACTATTAATTATGATCCATCGCTGATCATTATAATTATTGTTCCAGCGATGAACTCATTAATCAAATTAAACAGTCATAGAATTTTTTTATCAATAGAATTGTACGAGTATTTCTATGAAACATCAACATATAATTTTATTTGCTTAAATATTGATTAGTCATTTCGTTCTGTTTATCAATATATTTCTGCAGTATCTCTTTTATTGCAAATATTCTCGTTCAATAAATACAATATTCCACTTAATTATTCTTCTTTATTGTGAATTTTTCGAAACATTCCATTAGAGAACTAATTTCAAGTAAATATATATTTGATACGAAGAATTTCATCATTCCAATATCTGTGCTGTTAGTCTCTTCTGTTTTTATTTTGTCAACTCAACATCGAGAGCCTTTACAACAATTATCATGTAAATTTTTCATTGCGATCATTTCATGCGAAAATACTCGCAAAAAGTACATGTCTGATCGTAGATTAAATATTTCGAATGTATGCGAGTTAAACATTTCCAGTGAACATTTGATCTTTTACGTAACCTAGATTATAAACTGATAAGGAATTATGCCACGCTTAAGAATTGAGTGAATATTATGTCATTCGTATTTTTTTGTTGCGTATGTCACGCAGTCTCTTTCTTTCTTCTTCTTTTTGTTTTTGACGTCAACCAATTCTCACGTTAATGAAAAACAGCCTAATCAATGCTTTTTCATTTCTTATACGAACATCTATTATTCGACTCACTTGTCCTTGCTTGTCAGTCGCTTTAGTTACGTTTCCTCGTTGACGTCATCGTATCTCTTTGCCTCAGGAAGGAGGAAAAAACAATCTTGTGATTTAAGAAATGTTCGCTTGCCTTTTTGATGTGAGCACAGATATAGATTGAATTATAATAATCACATCTCAAAAAATAGCTCGATTGAATTATAAGAAGAAATAAACTCCGTGGCGTCATTTAGATATTACGATTGGCATCAGATATTTTTCTCGCACGTAAATCTTCAGATATTCTTAGCCAACGTAAGATCCAATAAGAATGTTATTTATCTCTCTCAGTCAGAACTAGACTGCAATAAGAGGCTGTTTACCGTTCGTGTGACGTTTCACTTCCCTTCGACCCGCTGGCCTTTCCCGGAGAAAAATCTGAAGTTCAATAAGAGCGTGTTTCGTACCAAACGGATCTCCTCCTCCATTTCGCAGCTTGACAGCCGAAGCGTAGAAAAATGCCACGGATATTCGCTTTGTCCTCGATCGCCTCGGGCTTTTCTCGACGAGAGCGATGAATAATAAAAGCACTCCGCCGACTTTACGCGCGGCCTCATCTCGCCCAGTATCGACGCGACCTGATCGAATCTACATAATTTCAGATCTGCAACCTCGGCATCGCAGGATGATTTTTATTAAAGCTTCGAAATTATTTTTATTATCCTGTCGCATAAAACCGCTCGTTATCCAATTAGTTTCGTTTGCCGCTGAATTTCATCGCGTAATTAAAGTCCTCTCGCATGCGCGAAAAAAATATACATTGCAAGAAAAAGTCTTTAGAATTTTGTGCATTATTAAGTTTTTTATTTAACAAATCATTATCAATTTTACGTAAAATGTGTGAGGTCGAAAGAATAAGATATTTACGTTCGATTTTCTAAATTCTTTGTAATTTCACGTCTTTAACGTCTTTCAGATTATAAAGTAAATGTATTGCGTGCAGAAGATTTAGCAGTTTGATGAGTCAAAATATATCTTGAACTAACTCATCGCCAAAAATCAAGTTTCGCCACTGCGAACTCTGCACGCGAGGAGGCAAACATACCGGCTATATATCGGTAATGGTAAGAGGCGATTACCGTGGCAATTTGCACGATCTTCATGATCGGCAAACGATCGAGACTTACGGAATACACAGGCGAAGAATTATATTCGCGCAGTTTGGCTGCGATGCAAGTGGAAACGAAGTGTTAGCGGTCGGTAGATGTACGGATGATACAAAGTGGCTCCGTTCTCTTCTTCTCCTCTTCTCCCGACGACGACCTCGCAATTAACCTGCTTCTCGTACTTTCAAGATTCCCGCGGAGAAGTGAAATTGGCCCTTTTGCCGCCGTGCAATTTGCCACTTAGGCATTATCATTCGACGGCCGCCGCACCAATGTATCTCTCCCCGAGATCGTTTTTCTCCCGCGGAATAAGCGCGCACATTACCAAGATGCTTTTCGCTTGCTCAGAAACACTGACGAATCGAGTTCCCGTAATGAACTGAGCGATTATTACACCGGGGGAAAGGTATTATATTGAAACATTTTTCAACGACGAATTTGACGATGATGAATTTGACAATCAAGAAGAAAAATACCGAATATTAAATATATTATTAGTAAACATATTGACATAATTATCTTAATATTGATATTGACGATATTTTATAGTGCTTTTTTTAATGTTACTCAACTTGTAACATCCGTTTTAATTTCTTTTTATTTACGCAAATTATTTATGAAGAAGATAATTCTATATCATAATACATTGAATATATTCATTTTTAGGTTCAGAATTATTCTTTCATAAATAATTTGTTTAATTTTAAAAACTGAATTATCTTATAATAATATTATATTTAGATATTTCTCATTAATAACAAAGTAAAAAACGCGTTTACGAAATAACATTTTTTATCTGAATTTTTATAAATTTTTTAAATGGAATCCAATTTTCAATTATATACCAGAACGTTTTTTATGTGTAATATCACGATTATATTACCATGATATCAGTTTTATTTTTAATAACATCACTTTATTGGTGATTTTATCGCGCAATATTCCCATCATGGTGATCCCATCGCTTCCTCGCGAAGACCCCGAGCTGCGACAATGCCATAGCTGATTCTGGAAGACTAATTTCGTGCGCAGTGCAAGTCGCGTCTTAATTATATCGACGTGGTCTGGCGAGCGTGTATATATATGTAGCGCCGAGGTAACGATTACTCGGATGTACACGCGGCTGGCGCGAGCGACATGATTGGAAACTGCGGTCCGCCATTGTGATCCCATTTACGTGATATTAGCACGGTGTCAGGCTGCACCGGCGTGCGAAATTAATCTCTCGCGCGACGACAGGAACCGGCGTTTCTCTGTGCCCGTAGAGAGACGATCTCTGCACGTATCGCGTATAACGATGCGCTACAGGTTAGTCGGGGGTTCA